CAAACTTTGGGCTCATCTGTGACTCTTACATCCCTTTAAATCCTACATTGAACCAATTGCTATAATTTTTCCCTTCAAAGGCAGCTGACATTTATAAATTGTGCTTTGTTTTCTTCTCTGGCTTCTGATTACAAATCCTTGTTTTATTTTTTGATTATTGGAATAATTTTCTAACTGAGCACTCCCTGTTTAAACAAGCCTGCCTATCACTGCTAGATAAGTTTTCCTTAAAATCTATTTTCAGTATCTCATTATTTGTTTAAATATATAAACAATAGAAAGAAAAGATGCATGTTAAGTATCGTTAAGCAAGTTTAAAAAGAAAACCCTAACTGAGAAAGTATATTTGCAATATATTGAATGGATTGGTGTTTAAACTAGGTAGTACATGAGGGACGCTTGCAGTTCAGTAAGCAAGTGACTCTAAAGAAAAATGAAAGAAAATATTAAGTGTACAGTACAAAAACATTTTGAAATAAAATTAGTGTACATAAATAGGATACAGAAACCCCCAAATGCTAATGGTGGTTTTTTCAAGGAGATGGAATAATGATTGATCTTTCTTTTCTAATGTAAAAATCTTTTAAAATATGGAATATTTTAGATAAAATGAGAACCCATTGCAAAGAAGCTAAAAACCTTGAAAAAAGATTAGACGAATGGCTAACTAGAATAACCAGTGTAGTGTAGAGAAGTCCTTAAATGACCTGATGGAGCTGAAAACCATGGCATGAGAACTAAGTGATGAATGCACAAACTTCAGTAGCCAATTTGATCGACTGGAAGAAAGGTTATCGGTAACTGAAGATCAAATGAATGAAATGAAGTGAGAAGAGAAGCTTAGAGAAAAAAGAGTAAAAAGAAACAAACAGAGCCTCCAAGAAATATGGGACTATGTGAAAAGACCAAATCTACATCTGACTGGTGTACCTGAAAGTGACAGGGAGAATGGAACCAAGTTGGAAAACACTCTGAAGGATATTATCCAGGAGAACTTCCCCAACCTAGCAAGGCAGACCAACATTCAAATTCAGGAAATACAGATAATGCCACAAAGATACTCCTCGAGAAGAGCAACCCCAAGACACATAAGGGCAGCCAGAGAGAAAGGTTGGATTACCCACAAAGGGAAGTCCAGCAAACTAACAGCAGATCTCTCGGCAGAAACTCTATAAGCCAGAAGAGAGTGGGGGCCAATATTCAACATTCTTAAAGAAAAGAATTTTAAACCCAGAATTTCATATCCAGTCAAACTAAGCTTCATAAATGAAGAAGAAATAAAATCCTTTACATACAAGCAAATGTATGAGAATGTTGAGAGATTTTGTCGTCACCAGGCCTGCCCTACAAGTGCTCCTGAAGGAAGCACTAAACATGGAAGGAACAACCAGTACCAACCACTGCAAAAACATGCCAAATTGTAAAGACGATCAATGCTAAGAAGAAACTGCATCAACTAACGAGCAAAATAATCAGCTAACATCATAATGACAGGACCAAATTCACACATGACAATACTAACTTTAAACATAAAAGGGTTAAATGCACCAATTAAAAGACACAGACTGGCAAAGTGGATAAAGAGTCAAAACCCATCAGTGTGCTGTATTCAGGAGACCCATCTCACGTGCAGAGACACACACAGGCTCAAAATAAAGGGATGGAGGAAGACCTACCAAGCAAATGGAAAACAAAAAAAGGCAGGCGTTGCAATCCTAGTCTCTGATAAAACAGACTTTAAACCAACAAAGATCAAAAGAGACAAAGAAGGCCATTATGTAATGGTAAAGGGATAAATTCAACAAGAAGAGCTAACTTCCTAAATATATATGCACCCAATGCAGGAGCACCCAGATTCATAAAGCAAGTCCTTAGAGGCCTACAAAGAGACTTAGACTCCCACACAATAATAATGGGAGACTTTAACACCCCACTGTCAACATTAGACAGATCAACGAGACAGAAAGTTAACAAGGATATCCAGGAATTGAACTCAGCTCTGCACCAAGCAGACCTAATAGACATCTACAGAACTCTCCACCCCAAATCAACAGAATATACATTCCTCTCACCACCACACCACATTTATTCCAAAATTGACCACATAGTTGGAAGTAAAGCACTCCTCAGCAAATGTAAAAGAAGAGAAATTATAACAAACTGTCTCTCAGACCACAGTGCAATCAAACTAGAATTCAGGATTAAGAAACTCACTCAAAACCACTCAACTACATGGAAACTGACCAATGTGCTCCTGAATGACTAGTGGGTAAATAACGAAATGAAGGCAGAAATAAAGATGTTCTGTGAAACCAATGAGAACAAAGACATCACATACCAGAATCTCTGGGACACATTTAAAGCAGTGTGTAGAGGGAAATTTATAGCACTAAATGCCCACAAGAGAAAGCAGGAAAGATCTAAAATTGACACCCTAACATCACAATTAGAAGAACTAGAGAAGCAAGAGTAAACACATTAAAAAGCTAGCAGAAGGCAAGAAATAACTAAGATCAGAGCAGAACTAAAGGAGATAGAGACACAAAAACCCTTCAAAAAATCAATGAATCCAGGAGTTGGCTTTTCCAAAAAATCAACAAAATTGATAGACCACTAGCAAGACTACTAAAGAAGAAAAGAGAGAAGAATAAAATACAAGCAATAAAAAATGATAAAGGAGATATCACCACCGATCCCACAGAAATACAAACTACCATCAGAGAATACTATAAACACCTCTACACAAATAAACTAGAAAATCTAGAAGAAATGGATAAATTCCTGGACACGTACACCCTCCCAAGACTAAACCAGGAAGAAGCTGAATGCCTGAATAGATGAATAACAGGCTCTGAAATTGAGGCAATAATTAATAGCCTACCAACCAAAAGAAGTCCAGGACCAGAAGGATTCACAGCCGAATTCTACTAGAGGTAAAAAGAGGAGCTGGTACCATTCCTTCTGAAACTATTCCAATCAATAGAAAAAGAGAGAATTCTCCCTAACTCAATTTATGAGGCCAGCATCATCCTGATACCAAAGCCTGGCAGAGACACAACAAAAAAAGAGAATTTTAGACCAATATCCCTGATGAACATTGATGCAAAAATCCTCAATAAAATACTGGCAAACCGAATCCAGCAGCACATCAAAAAGCTTATCCACCATGATCAAGTGGGCTTCATCCCTGGAATGCAAGGCTGCTTCAACATATACAAATAAATAAATGTAATCCATCATATAAACAGAACCAAAGACAACAATCACATGATTATCTCAATAGATGCAGAAAAGACTTTTGACAAAATTCAACAGCCCTTCATGTTAAAAACTCTCAATAAATTAGGTATTGATGGGACATATATCAAAATAATAAGAGCTACTTATGACAAACCCACAGCCAATATCATACTGAATGGGCAAAAACTGGAAGCATTCCCTTTGAAAACTGGCACAAGACAGGGACGCCCTCTCTCACACCTCCTATCAATATAGCATTGGAAGTTCTGGCCTGGGTAATCAGGCAGGAGAAAAAAATAAAGGGTATTCAATTAGAAAAAGGGGAAGTCAAATTGTCCCTGTTTGCAGATGACATGATTATATATTTAGAAAAGCCCATCGTCTCAGCCCAAAATCTCCTTAAGCTGATAAGCAACTTCAGCAAAGTCTCAGGATACAAAATCAATGTGCAAAAATCACAAGCATTCTTATACACCAATAACAGATAGAGAGCCAAATCATGAGTGAACTCCCATTCACAAAAATAAATGTTATGTCTGTTTTAAAGAGAGTATCTGAGGATTGCAGACTCCATAAATCTCTAACATGGTAGTCTGTGTACTGTCAGGTGCTCCATTTCTCCATTTCCCTTCCCTCCCTCACAAAACCCACATACTCTGCAGGCTCTAGCAAGGAAGACAGTTATTTCTGTACCGTGGCTGCACAACTCTTCAGTGTTTGAGTTCATGGCCTTTTTCAACATGCAGCTTCAGGGAAGACACACACAATGTCAACCAGGCAGACCAAATGCCACCTCAATCCAGACAGTAACAAGGTGACAGATTTCAGAGTTAGAGTCCCTTCATATTCAAATGAAGTAGTTATATTTAAGGATATTAAAATATATTAAAAGATTCATGTTTATGAACAAAAGCATAAAACATGTATGTTATATATAAAAGTATACTTAAGGGAAAAATGAAGCACCATGTTTTAAGTTGCAGTTAGCTTAGATTATCTGAGATAACAATTGACTTAGAGACATCTTCAGAGAGTGGTAGAAAAATTGCTTTCCTTCTCACTACCACCCCCCATCTTGCAGAAACAATGAGAAAAAATAGGGTAAAGAATTCTTAAGAACTTGAGAGCATCATACCAAAAAAGTAAACAATGTATTTCTTAAAGGAATCCAATTTATCAACATTTTCAGAGTGAAATCACAGAATTTGAAAAAAGATGTCACTTTTTTAGTGCATACCATATGCTAGGTACCTTCTTATACATTAATTTCCTTGAAGTTACATATCCATTCCATAGAATATATATAGAAAAGAGTTTAGTCTAGCTAGTTTAGCAGAAATAATAAAGGAAATTAAATATCTCCTAGAATCTCTGAAGAAGCAGACTTGGATGCTGCACTGACAGAAATAGTACAGGAAGGAAAAACTCCAAGCTAAGATTTACCCACAAAAATTATTCTGAGAAGTTACAAAGCATAAAAGAAAGCATTAAAAATGATATTATAAGAAATTGCAAGTACATTAGAAAACATATTCAATATCTGCTTTCAACTTTTAAATGTTATCTTCAACCAAGTTCAGGGTCATTGTACGTAGTCAAAAGAAGTATGTGTCCTTCACATGTACTGACGTTAATTTTAGTTCTAACAATGTTTAAACAAATTCAACAAATTACAAGACACTCAGAAAAATGATCAGTTAAGTTATCAATTAACAGGGTAGAATAGGTTATTCACTCACAATTACTTGTTTTCTCTTTACCTTTGCCATGCTTTCTCATAGACAGGAAATAAACTCTCTGTCCCATTGATGTTGATGTTGGGCTTAGCCATGTCATTTGATTTGTCCAGTAGAGTGTGAGTGAATGTAGCATACACCTGTTCAAACAGAAGCTGTAATTGACTTGTTTGGGTTGGCTCTGTCCCATCTGAACAGTTGTCCTCTGCCATAAGAATGTCATGTCTCAGATAATGACTCCCTCAGAAAAATTCCAGAAGTGAGAGAACTCATGGAGCTGGGTTAAATCCACTGGGGGGTGTAGCCCTCAAGTTGTATTCACAATAAAAAGTGTTTATTGACAGAGCCATGGAAATTTTGGGTTTGTTTATTGTCATGGCAAAAGTAAATTAATATACAGGGAAACACAATAGTTTAAAGTGTGGTCAAATTTAGAAGTTACTGAATTAGGAAGCAGTGGCAATGGAAAATTCCTAAGAATAAATGTTCCCTTTTGAATTAATTTTCCTTTCATATACCATAACTGTAAATTTATTTCTCCTGATAAAAAAAAAAAATACCTTATTGCAAAAGAAGAGGGGCCTATTCTACAGGGACCTTGTGGTAAAATAGAGTGTGTGGATATATATATCCACATATCCATGTATATATAGATGTATGTATGTATGTATGTATCTATCTATCTATCTATAGAATAGATTTATCTATCTACTTATCTATATATCACTTTTTATATAATATATGAACATCTTCAGAGAATTTCCTGGTTCTGTGTTATAATAGTTCTTGTTAATCATAATCAGTTTTTGATATAAGAAAAATTGAATATAGAATTCAGAAGTGATTAAAATTAGTATGAACTACTTCAAAACAATGCTGAAATTTCTGTGAACTAAAGTTAAGATTGCTGGGCATGTTCAAATAAGGCAAAGTTGTTTTTTGTTTATTTGTTTGTTTGTTGTTTTTGTTCTCAGATAAGAAGGGTGTAGTTACTTTATATCTAAATCGTTACAAAGTCTTACTTATTGCTGATCCTCTCTCAGTTTGTTTAATTTTGACTAACCAAACCAAATTGTTGTTGTTCAGTAAAGACACATTAGCCTAAAAATCTGTCAATACTAGGATCAAGTGAGTGATTGACTGAGATCGACTGAATTGGTGAGAAAGAAAAATAAAACCCTAAAACTATAATACAGATTTATTTCTTCCTGTCATGAACATGACTTCACAATTGCAAGTGCTGGGTTATAAACAAGTTTAAAATTTTTTAAAAAGCAAAGCAGTAAATGGTCCAGTTGAGGAGATAGTGGATGTATGTTCATAGGAAAATGTAAAAACAAACAGACTAATGTTTTGTGAATGTATACACTCAGGATAAATTTTCCAGTGAAAACATTGTATACAGACCCAAAAAGTGCTTTAGCTCAAAAAAGTGTGGACCAATAAGAAAATAATGTGCTCCAGACCAAGCCATTAGATTCAACAGGCAGCTCTGTTAATGATGAAGACTACTTTAGAAAATACATATAGAAAGCTTAAATAAAATAGTTCAAGAAATGTGAAAAAGCATATTTTTACAGGAGTAAAGTAATTCCATAATAATATGTGATTATAATTGTTAACCTATTTGATAAAGTGAATATTAAAAGTCGATATTGTTAAAGTTAATTAAAATGGAGACCATGCCTGAAAAAAATCCCTGAGCTGACAAATCCAATTAGACCTCATAAGTTACCTTAACCTTGCTCGATTTGCAAACATAAGTGAAATAACTGAGCTGTTTCTTGTAAATTCCTATATTAACAAAAAACAGAACTTAATCTCAATCAATCAGAAATAGCCAATTAACATATTATAATTAGCAACTTTCTAAGCAAAGAAACCAAATAAGACAACTGTACAACTGTAATCAATGAAATGTGAGATTTTCTTTTACCTCAATGATAGTATTGTAAAAGTTTCCCTGTTGCATTTCCTTGGTGGAGTTCTCAGATGACTTCTGGTTCGGAACTGCCCAGTTCATGAAGCATCATTAGCTGCAATACATTTTTAAAAATCGTAATGTGTTTCAGTTTACCTTTTAAATAGTATTTACAATTATATACACACAATTAGATGTTAATATGGTAAAGTTAGTGAAAAAACTTCCTTCTGGATCTTTTCCTTGGGAAAATCAAAGATGGCTTTATGTTTTAGGTTAATTCAGTAGGATTACTTGGTACCTAACTCCATTCTGAACCATATTCCTTTAATATTTACCAACTTCTATTTATTAATCCCTTACCTATTTTCCACCAAAGATTAGTTCACTCACTTAAAAATTAACAAGTCTAGAACATAATTTACAAGAGAAGATGTCTCCTAACTTCAGAAGCCTAAAGTTTGATAAAAGAATTCTTCTTTAATGATTTTAACATGCATGATTATTTTCCTTTTGATTAATAAAGAAAAAGCTAGAATTTAAGAGCCAGAGGGTAAGCTATCACATCAGGCTCTGACCAATCCTATGCTAATTAGGAAATTGCAGAGCCAATTAAGCAAGCAATGATTAGACTGCTGTCATTCGTCAAAGGAAGCAGCTAAATTGGTTCTTTTGACTATCACATTTTAAACTGAACCTTCATTAAAACCACAAAGGGACACTTCTCTGAAAACAATAAAAAAAAAAAAAAAAAAAAAAAAGGATTTAAAACCTAGATAATCTCTTCGGGGGATACTTTCTCAAAGAAAGTTTTAAAGTTCTGAATGTACAGCTTGCCTGTCACTAACAGGTAAAGACCCACAAATAAAAAGTACTTTCCCATTGACCAATGAGTAAATTAATATGAACCCATGTGGGTTATTCCTTCTGGAATAATGCCTAATAGGGCTGTCAAAGTTACACTGGTGCCTTAATCCATTTTATGCTGCTATAACAGAACACTTGAAGCTGGGTAATTTGTAAAGAATAGAGGCCTGGCGCAATGGCTTACACCTGTAATCCCAGCACTTTAGGAGGCCAAGGTGGGTGAATCACGAGGTCAAGAGTTCAAAACTAGCTGGGCCAAGATGGTGAAACCTCGTCTCTACTAAAAATACAGAAATTAGCCAGGCGTGGTGATGGATGCCTGTAATCCCAGCTACTCGGGAGGCTAAGGCATAGAATTGCTTGAACCCGGGAGGCAGAGGTTGCAGTGAGCGGAGATTGCACCACTGCACTCCAGCCTGGGTAACAGAGCGAGACTCCATCTCTAAAAAAAAAAAAAAAAAAAAAAAAAAAATAGAAATTTATAATTTATAGTTCTAAAGGCTGAAAAGTCCAAGGTCAAAGGGACTTCATCTGGCTAGGGCCGTCATCATCTCATGGTACAATGCAGAAGAGCAAGAAGGCATGCGGGGGGGGGGTGTGTGTGTGTGTGTGTATGTGAGAGAGAGAGGGAGAGAGAGAAAAGAATGGTGCTGAACTAATGTTATTAAAAATTAGGAACCCACTCCTGACATAACAAACCCACTCCCTTATTAATTGCATTAATCTATTCATGAGGGCAGAGTCCTCATTACATAATCACTTCGTAAAAGTCCCACATCTCACTCAACATTGCTGCATTGGGGATTAAGTTTCCAACACATGAACTTTGTAGGACACATTCAAACCTCAGACCCATGACCTCTCCAGTAAAACATAATCAGGTATAAAATAATCCAGATTCCCTTGGGACCTACCTGCAAAAATTTAACTTTGTACACTTCAGATAAGTTTAGTCCAGTGTTTTATTTTAAAGGATGAATTTTTTGAAGTACTTTTTTGGGCTACAATTTTAACCCAAAAACTTCTCTAAAAGTTGAGCATGTTGGCAAGTTTGTTTGGTTCCCACTCTCACCTCCCATTTTTTCTCTTGAGCAGCTCATTAAAATCCCAGAAAAGTTATCCCCCAGCCAACCCGTTGTTTCTTCACGTCTATGGAAGATATGACATACGTACCATACTAGGGTGCTCTAGAGCTTTGCTCTTTGAAATATGGTCTATGATCAAGAGTTGCTGACTAGAAATGCAGACTCTTAAGCCACATCTCTGACATTCCATATCAGAATCTCTATTTTTATCTTAATAAAAATAGGATGGATTTATTTCTGGGTCCCCTGTTCTGTTGGTCTCTGTTTTTATACCAATACCATACAATTTTGGTTACTATGGCTTTGTAGTAATGATGATAATATTTTAATAATAATGTTTTAAGGTAATATTAATACATCATATAATAAAATAATATTAACAATAATTATTTAATATTTTAATAATAATATTTTGAAGTCAGTAGTGTGCTGCCTCCAACTTTGTTCTTTTTTTTTTGGTTCAAGTTTGCTTTGGCTATTTCAGGTCTTTGTGATTCCACACATATTTTAGATTTCCTTTTCAATTTCTGTGAAAATTATCATTGATATTTTAATGGGGATTGCACCAAATCTGTAGACTACTTTTGATAATATGAACATTTCAACAATATTAACTATTCCAATCCATGAACATGAAATTTATCCTTCAGTTTATTCATGCTCTTGTCAATTTATTTCATCAACATTTTATAATTTTCATTGTGGAGTTCTTTCACCTTCTTGGCTAAATTTATTCCTAGCCATTTGTCATTTTTGTAGACATTGTTAGTTGCATTGCATTGATTTCTTTTTCAGATAACCTGCTGTTGGCATATAGAAACACTACTGATTTGTGCATTTATAGCAAAATGATTTTCAACATAGGTGCAAAGAACACACGTTGGGGAAAGGATGGTCTTCTCAATAAATGATGCTGAGAAAACTGGATATCCATATCTAGAAGAACAAAACTAGACATCTATCTCTCACCACAAAAATCAACTCAAAATTAATTAAAGACTTAAATATAAGACCCAAAACTATGAAACTACCCAAAGAAAACATAGAGAAAACACTTCATGACATTGCTTTGAATCAAAGTGTTTAATAAGACCTCAATATCAGAGGGACACAATGCAGAAATAGGCAAATGGGATTCTATCAAAATACAACCCTTCTACACAGCAAAGGAAACAATCAACAGAGTGAAGAGACAACATGCAGAGTGGGAGAAAATATTTGCAAAGTATGCACTTGACAAGGGTTAATATCCAGAATACATGAGGAACTCAAGCAACTCAATAGTGAAAAACCAAATAATCTGATTTAAAAATGAACAAGAGATCCAAATAAACATTTCTCAAAAGAAGTCATAAAGTGGTCAACAGGTATATGAAAATTCTCAACATCTTTGATTATCAGAGAAATGCAAATCAGAACCACAATGAGCTATCACTTCATCCCAACTAGAATGACTATTATTAAAAAAGACAAGAAAATAACAAATGCTAGTGAGGGTGTGGAGAAAGGAGAACTGTTACACACTGTTGATGAAGGTGTAAAGTAGTATAGCCATTATGGACAACAGTATAAAGTTTCCTCAAAAAATTTAAAATGGAACTACTATATGATCCAACAATTTTACTACTGGGTATACAGCCAAAGGAAATGGAATTAGTGTGACAAAGAGATATCTGCATTTTCATGTTTATTGCACCACTATTCACAATCCCAAGATATGAAATCAACCTAAGCATTTATCAACAGATGAATGTATTAAATAAATATGGTACACTATGGGATACTATTCAGCCATAAAAAGAAAAAAACCCTGTCATTTGTAAAAACATGAGTGGACCTAGAGGACATTACGTTAAGTGAAATAAGGCAAACATGGAAGGAAAAAATACTGCATGATCTCATTCATATGTGGAATGTAAAACACTTGATGTCATAGAAGTAAAGAGTAGAATAGTGGTTACCAGAGACTGGGGAGAGTGCAGGGTGAGGATATGAAAATAAATTAGTTAATGAGAACAATATTACAGTTAGAGAGAAGGAATAAGTTCTGGTGTTCTATTGCACAGTAGAGTGAAAATAAAAAAGTAATGTATTGTGTACTTTAAAATAGCTAAAAGAGATGACTTTGAGTTTTCTTACAACAAATAAATGACAAGAGGCTGAGGTGATGGATATGCTTACTACCCTGATACAGTGTATACAAATGTTTTTATATATACACATACACATATATAAACATCACAGTGTATCCCATAAATAGTATGATTATTATATACCAATTTAAAACAAAATAATACTTACTTGAGAAAACAGAAATATCCCGTTGGTTTTTCACTTTAACATTTGAGAAATAGTCTTCTTGATTTTGTTTTTTTGTTATTAATTTTTAATGCAGTGGTTCTAGCCCTACTTGCACATTACAATTAACTCAGGAAAATTCTGAAATTTTGCAGTCCTGATGCCTAGGCCCTACACTTGATTACATCAGAATTGTTGGAGGTGAGTCCAGGCATCACCGTATTTTTAAAGTTCCCAAGTGATTCCAGTGTGCCACCAAGTATGAATCAGAATCACTTGATGAGCTTGTGAAAACACAGATTTGGGCCCCCGATGGCCAGTTTCTAATGTAGTAGGTAATGATTGGGGTATAATATGTTATATTTTTAAGAACTTTCAAATTACCGCTGCTCTAATGACCATGCTTTGAGAACCACCAATTTAGATGGTGTGATTTGAGGGTGAAAATTTTTAAAAATTATTGTCCAAGAAAAAAATGTTACTCTATTTCCAGCTAATCCCTTGATATTACCTTATAAAAATTAATGAATTTACTATTTATGTCTTTACTCTGAAATCTGTGTCTTTACTGTGCTTCAGAAATCCAGTCACAGAGCTATACCATAGATTTTTCAGCACCCAGAACAGTTCCATTTTAAAAAGTTACTTTCTACTAGATAACTACACCTGAACACTGCTTAAGAACTCTTGCCAATGTGTTCCTCCTGCTAGGTTTTTATCTCACTGAATGACATCCCCATTTACCCAAGCTATCTAATCTCTCATGTCCCACAGTTATCTATGATTTTTTTTCCCTTATGTCCAGTATTTCAACAAGTTGTACTGATCATTTCTCTGAAACCCTCTTAATCATATTTCCTCTTCTCCTTATTAACAGAGCAATCAGCTCAGTCTGTCTCCTTTTATATTATCCTCTTTCTCCCTACCCCGTCCTTATCCAGTCAGGCATTGACTGAATTGCTAACACAAACTGCTGATCACGCACAAATTTTGTTCTCATACTTAAAAAATGTCAGTATTGTTTCATGACCCATAAAATAAAGTCCAAAAGTAATGTGACATTCAGAATAATTCCACAATCTGACCCCTAAGTCTACCTTTTCAGTCTATTGCCCACAAATGTTCATAAAGCTGCTGAATTTTCAGACCACTAAATTTCTCGTTGTTCCATGAACATGCTACTTTCATTCCTTTGCATATATATATATATACACACACACACACACACAAGAATATATACACATGTTATATATACATATATAGATATAGAAAACCCTTTATTGTTACTTTTCTTTCAAAATTCAACTCATCTTCAAGACTCAGATGTCACATCCTTTTCAATGCAAAGTCTTCCTCAATACTCTCCAGTAGAATTAACAACGAAATCCCTTTCTTGTGTTTTGTTATTTTGAGAAAGGGTCTTGCTCCATCATCCAGGCTGGAGTGCAGTGGCATGATCATGGC